AATCTGTTCTGTGCCAGGTCAGTACGAAAATACAGAAATATAGCTAAGATCTCTCAAATTTCTTTCCCAAAGACTCCACGCATCAAGAACTACGATGCACACCCACGGAGGAGGAATTAGGCAGAAAGCCTCTCACTTCTCTCTTTTCCAGTCCAGTAAACACAGTCAAAGTGCTGAGGATACACCATAGTCTTACCAAGGCTTCAAGTAGAAATTTCTACTAAGCAGTTTCAGATCTGGAACATGAACCAGAAACTGTCAAAAGTCTTCTTCAGGGGCACCTGGGTGGCTCAGTGGGTTTAGCCTCTGCCTTTGGTTCAGGTCACCGTCTCAGGGTCCTGGGATTGAGCCCCACATCGGGCTCTCTGCTCAGCAGGGAGCCTGCTTCCCCCTCTTTCTCTGCCTTCCTCTCTGCCTACTTGTGATGTCTCATTCTGTCAAATAAATACATAAAATCTTAAAAAAAAGTCTTCTTCATAAAGTAAAAAATTTTTAAGTCGTAGCAGAGGAACAGTAATATAATACAATACAGTACAATAGGTCAAAAATCAATCAACTAGACTGAACTATGCATGGGTGGTGAGATTTTCACCAAAACATTGTTTTCTGATCCCAGTCTCTCTCTCCTGGTTTTCCTTCCAAGACAGTCAGTCACACTTTAAGTCTTCTCATAGTTGTCTGCTACAAGTAGAGGGAGGCTGATGAAGTGAAAGATTCATCTCCCCTCCCATTCCCACTGCTTTATGGTTCTCAGCATCTGGTCCCCTGGAGGAATGAAAATGGAATCCTAAGGAGGGGCACCTGGGTGGCTCAACTGGCTAAGCCTCCGACTCTTCATTTTGGCTTAGGTCAGGGTCCCAGGGCTGTGAGATCGAGCCTCACATCAGGTTCCATGAGCCTGCTTAAGATTCTCTCTCTCTCTCTGCCCCTCAGCCCCACTCTTCCTCTCTTAAAAAAAAAAAAAAAAAAAATCCTGGGGCGCTTGGGTGGCTCAGTGGGTTAAGCCACTGCCTTCGGCTCAGGTCATGATCTCAGGGTCCTTTTGATGCAGTCTTGTCTCAATCACAGATACTCTGGCCAGATTCTGGCAGCTGCTCTGGAGCCACTCGTGAAAAAGCTTCTCTATAAAACTAATAAACAACCTATAGTGAGCCATGCACAACAGCTTTGTGCTTTTAAGTACTAACTGCTGAACCAATTCAGGGTCTTTTCCCTCTGGTTCTGGAAGCCCTTGGGAGCCAGGTGGTTGTGAGATGGCCAGCTCCACCTAGAGTCCTCAGATGGCTGTAAGCATTTGCAAACTGGCAAGGAATCTCAGCCAATTCAGGGGTTTTCTTGAAGGCCATCTTGAGTCCACTGTTATCAATTCCCCCCCTGAAGTTCATAGAAGCAGCTACTGAGAATGTATTTCTTCCAGGAAGCCTCCTGAAGGGTAGGATTCGAATGTTCCCAAAGCTCACAGACATGTTTTTTGAATTTTACTTTCTTTTTTAAAATGTCGTTATTCAATCCAAGAGAACGCATCTGCTAACTATGCAGAATGCTGCTTAACTGCTCGATTCCACTGTGTGGAAGACACTTTTTAAAGGTTTGGATTATCTACCGTTAGGGTTGAGATGTGGTAACCTACCTCTGCAGATGTGCAGATGCTTTCCCTCTGGTCGGTTAGGGCATCAAAGGCCAATGTTAGGAAGCTGCGTGAAGTTACTTCAAAATGTATCATAAGTAAAAAACAATTTCCTGTGGCTGAAAGAACCTCCCTTAGAGAAATGTTGATTTATGACCCTTGTCTCCCCCTAAATAGGAGAAAATAATTAAACCCTCTTCTCTTATGCCTCAGTCTTAGAAGGACAAAATAATGAAAGAAAAGCCTCTTTAAAAAAGAGGGACTGAAGAAAAAACAGGTTCTGCTCTCATGAGCAGGGACAGCAGGGACCCCATACAAATCCAAGCCCCGGGAATAGCCTGGAGCTCGCATAGCTGACCAAAGGTAAAGGGTGATAGCCAGAAATTCAACTTCGTCCTTAGCCCTCCCCAGGACAGGAAAGCTGGTGACCTGCAGAACATAACTGAGACCGAACATACACAGCACAGTCACAATAATCCCACCCATTCAAAGGAAAGCAAACCTGGATCCGAGAATACTGGAGTCAGGGGTGAGGAAATAAAGGGATAGGTGATTAGGACCATTTTTACCTTTTTTCCTTGGTACACAATAAATGAGCTTCCTTGCTTTCATTAGAAAAAAAATGCTTAGAATTAAGGCGCACTTAATTTAGCTGAAGCACGCAGGCAGGCTTGGGAGAAGGGAAATAAGCTACATAATAGTGATTTTTAGCCAACAGAAGACATCTGAAGGTCTGCCCATATCAGCATGTTAGTTTTAGGTGGAAAACTCTTGGAAGGCACAGAATATATTTGTAGCACCATGGCTAGTGCAATTAGTATGTGTTTGAAGATGAAGGACCAAACCTCCAGGGCAAAAATGCTGACCTGCTCTGGCCAATACCTTCAGCCACTATTATCTCCAGAGACCACTGGAGTGTCAGGCGACCACTCAAATTACATGACAAAGCCACAAGCCCCCAAAACCCTGCATCCTGAGATACTGCTGGCTGCCATCCCCGCCCCCCTCGATGCTGTAGGTAGGTAATAAAATACACCATATTTGTGCCTCAATGCAAATTACTTCTTAAAGGAATGGGATAAAGTCATGCTTTCTACTTAATTCAAGATGTTCAAACACAATACACAGAGCAGAAAATTCTCCTGGATCCTGAGCTCTGCTTTTGCCTTAAACCCACATGTTAAATACATGATACTTCTCGGTCTTTCAATATGCTTGAGAGAACAGAAATCTGAAACAGCAAAGGCCATAGCACAAAATTTATTGGGATTATTTACCAAGTAAGTCATACACATCCAACATCAATGAATGGAAATAAGACTAATTAATTAAAAAAAAAAAAAAAAAGCAAGGCTTCCACTGGGGTCCTTCAAGAAAGTCAAAAACTTCTTGGTTACTGTATCTTCAACAAACGGAATGATCAAACTAATGAAGTCAGATGTATCACAGTCAAATCCTAAATGCAACATTGCCAACATGTTTTTCTACTCAAAAGCAAACAATAAGCAAAGGTTCATAACTTTGTAATTATTGTTTCTTGGTTTCTGTTCTCAAATGCCACAGAAGGATGTGTGATAAAAGGAAGCAAAGCACCTAGTCTGAGCAGTCTTCTTAAAAACCTTGAATTTGCTTTCCTAGTATCAATATAAATATTTAGATTTCCCCATCGGATGATTTTTTTCACTTATTTGAGTAGGAATGGTCTCAAAACCTTAGTCTTTACTCTTGCTTCATACTGCAGTTGTTTGATTAAACCACCAGTAACGTTCCTCTGTACTGGCTGGACTAAATCACTAGATAAGAATTCATTACAATATCTTCTAAGAAACCAAGATAATCTCAATACAAATTTTCATGGCTAATATGTTACAGTACTTACAGATACTTTGTTTCCTAATGGTTAGGTCTGTTGAAAAATGTATCATTAATAAGTGAGTCTCATAATACACACAGAAATAAATGAACCTATTATAATGTAAGAACATCCATAAATTGCACTCACTATTCCTGATGACTTTATACTTCTTCTTCTTCTTTTTTTTTTTTTTTTAAGTAAACTCCAGTTCAATGTATGGCTTAAACTCACAACCATGAATTAAAAGAACTGCATGCTGTACCACTTAGCCAGCCAGGTGCTCCTATTCCCAATGACTTTAAACGTAAAACCTAATTACACAAAGACAAAATTCCCTACCTGATTTAACCCTGTACACCAAATAGCATAAATGCTAAAAGTGAGAAACATTTTAATAAATCTCACATTAAAAACCTTGGAATTTACTCTGCTTTAGTAATGGCAGAAAAAGATAAGGAGAAAACAAATTTCTCAGAGATTTTTTTTAAAGGAAGAATGGATTTAAGGGAAAATTCCTTTGGACTCTATAGCCTTTTTTTTTTTTTTTTAATTCTGTACCTTTCAATGCTTCAACATGATGCCAAAAAACAATATACTAAATAAAAGTAGCCAGGAAAGAAATCAAACATAAGATATATTTATTATTTTTCTGACCAAAGTGCAATGATTTTTAATCTCCTTAAACAAATAACTGAAAAAAAGTATTCAAGAAAATAAAACACAAATGGGAAATTAACCATTAGATGTTTTTACTACATACCCACCCTACATTTAGTCTAAAAAACAAACAAAAACACTTTGAATGAAGTGTTACCAACAAATCATTTACCATAAACCTCGTACATGCATTTCAAGGTTCCACTGCTAGGAATTTTGTTAAGATCAATTTAAATCATTAATAACACTATGTAATAGAGCACAGGAACACAGGTCATTTGATGTGATCCTTGCCCCCTACCCTCAGATTTATGTCAGAATAAAGCTGACAAATCTGCCAGGCTCTGAACCCCCAGTGACCCCATCCCAATCCCTGGAAGCAAAGAAGATGCCCTGTCACCCAACTTTGTAGAAGTTGTAATAAAACAAAGCCTATTTTCTTACCTTTCTATAGGAAACGGTCAGTTATTTGATAAATACTAAAACACTTCTAGGAATTCATTTCATGAGTTTACCAAACACACTTTGCAAGAACCGACTACACGAGAAGTTCCTCTGGAATTTGGTCCATAAACTCGCTTAACAGGTTGGAAATTGAAAACTTGCAAGAAAACAAGGAAGTGGGGAATCCCTAATCCTAACATGTTGTAATTAGTAAAGGGATCTACAGACATACTAAAAAATTTTGCTCACAGAAGGCACAAACTATAAAAGGGATATGCTTTTTGAGTAAAAACAAAGAACTAAGCTGATATCCTTCTTTGTTTTGTGAGCACCATAGCTAAGATGAAGTTAGACCCGAATTCACTGTCTACTCCTATAACCAAAAAAATCTAAGATAAAAAATTTTTCTTACTATACACTTTCCAGCCATTAATTGAGATGTAATTATGAAAGATTAAAATTGCCTTAAAAAGGGGTTGTAATAGCAGCTATCAAAGCAATATTCAAGCATGATTTCGAGGATGCCTTCAGGTTTAGAGTTAGCCTTCTTTGTCAAAAATCTTCACAACTTCATCAAAAACCTGCAAAGGATAAAAATAATAGTAATTTTAAAAGAAGATATTATTAAAACACTATATGGCTAAGTTCCTGTTAAAAAGTCAATTTTTTATTAATTTTCAAGATGTATCACATATAAAATATTGTAATTCCTTGGTTTCATCTATTTTACTTTAGACAGCAGTAAGTATTATCATAAATATGTACAAAATTGTGAACAAGTGCATTCAATTTTATTAGTATTTTTAGGACAAACAAATTTCTTGATCAATAGCAATTATTTGATAAAATGTAAACTGTTGTGGCTTCTTTTTCTAGTTCTGGTTCTAAAGCACTAAGTTCCCTGATGTATCACCTCACCTCTTGGGAAGGAGTAATGGATAAAAAATACCCAACACAACCATGTGATAAACAAGGAAGGTCCAGAAAGGAAGACTCAGGGTGGGAATCAGGGCAAGAGGAGCTGGATTAAGAGACACTAAAAAGAGCTGCTGGGCACTGAGAGATCACAGATTTTTAGAGGAGAGCAGGGCTGGGTCTGGAAGCCCTGTGCCCCTGGAGCTCTGTGCTCTGTGATGAAGAGATGGAAGCAGCCTGGGGCCCTTGAACTAAGAGGACTCGCCATTCACATTAGAGATTTTAAAAAATGAACGTGGTCCAAATCACAGTTCTCAAAATGCCAATTTTCCAGTGCTTGAGAAAAGAGGTTTGGAATTAATAAAACATCCACTTCTTGTGAAGAACGAGTCTGAAGTTGTAAAATCTATTTTAGATGCTATTCAAAAAGGAGGAAAAAAAAATCTCATTTTCATTTAGTCTCCAGGGTCTTGAAAAGCAAACTAATCTGTCATATCTCTTTTTCTCCTGCCTACATACCCCTTTGCCTGCTAAATCACATTTTTTTAAAAGATTTTATTTATTTATTTGGTAGACAGAGATCACAAGTAGGCAGAGAAGCAGGCAGAGAGAGAGGAGGAAGCAGGTTCCCCGCTGAGCAGAGAGCCCTATGTGGGACTTGATCCCAGGACCCTAGGATCATGACCTGAGCCAAAAGCAGAGGCTTAAACCCACTAAGCCACCCAGGCACTCCGCTAAATCACATTTTTACTTGACTTTTCTTTTAAGACAAGCTAGGGATACTCACTTCATCAACAGACTTAGAGGCATCTATCTTCTTGACTTTCCCCATTTCTTCGTATAAGTCAATAATTGGCTTTGTTGACTGAAGATAGGTCTGAATTCTGCAAAAGCAGCAAATAATACAAGGTTCTACATATTCTCCCATTCTTCCCCATGTTATAGGATTGCTCAGAGCACAACCCAGATCTGACCCAACCAACCCTCTTTTTATACCCGCCATTTTACATATTTAAGTGCGCCGTTCTCTTTTCCTGGGCGAACTGAGGCAGGGTTTAACCTGGGCCTCAAGTTCCAAACTCAGCCTAAGGTGGCGATGGATAAAATCTGCAAAGTACCTCTTCTCCAAGCTCTCTCTGTTGTCATCACTTCTACCACTACTCTTTCCCCTCTCAAGGCATCGTTCGATACAGATCTAAAAAGAAAAATAATGAAAAGTCATTCCAAAAAAAAAAAAAAGATCCAAATTTGCCTTTCACATTTGCCATTCTTTTAACCCGAAAAGAGAACAAAGTTTGAAGAGATTACAAAAAAAAAACCCTACATTAAAACTAATTTGTCTAATTCATTAATCAACATGCAAAGTCCTTTTAAATTTAAACATGTGGTTCAATTTATATAAACTAGGTTAAATAAGTACAGAGCATAATAAGAATTCATTCATGACTCAGTTTTTCCCGTGCACTTTTTTTTAAACCGCAATAAAAAGAAGATCTGTATGTGTGTGCTTCCATTGAGGATATATTATTAACTTGTTAGGTATGAATTACATGCCTCAAACTTTGTTCCATTTTGCTTACTTTTTGATAATTCCATAAATATCCAAATATTTAAGAATCAACAAATTTGCATTTGAATAAAGTATCCCTTGTTAATCATGAATAAACATTCCTTAGTTATAAAGCTGTGGTGAACATTCTGAAGTTAACTTTGAAGAATAAGTGAAAACATATTTTTGGGGGTTGGAAAAAGAGAATTAGATTTTTACAACAACTCAAAGGCTGCAGCAAGTCTCTCCAGCAGAGGCACATTTGCAGTTCAGCCCAAGAATAGCCAACTTCCTTCAAGGCAGTAATTTAGGTTCCCATTCTTTCAGGCTGCTGGCATTAACTTAGTGAAGTTATATTACAGCTGTCAAACAGTCAGGCCTCTTAATTAAATGATCCTGAGAAATTCATTTAGCTATTCAAAGGTATGTCTGGATATGTTACTAGAAGTACCAGGAAGAAAAAGAACGCTTTCTTGCCTTTCTCAAGATCATTTCACTCTTAGAAGATAGACATCAAGCTATCTTTTTTTCTTTTCACATCACGCTATCCTAGATGTTTCTTTAAAATAGAAAGTTTTCCCAACTTCCCCAAAAGTCTTTTCCTAACATCCTAAGGCAATACTCTGAAAAGAGCACATACCTAAGAAGAAACAGCACAGCCTCATTACCTAACATTATTGTACAAGTCAATTCTTACTTCAAAATAAAGCAAATACTTGTTATCTTGAAAATCAAGCAAATTTTAGATCCACAGCATTGCTGATACCAAACAGTTTTTAGTACTCCAACAGCAAGACAGCACTGTTCCATTCATCTATTTACCAGTTCGAAGTAAAACTGCTGCCCATATAAAATGCAAAGATAAGTAAAAAGTCACTTTGTTTTTCCCTAATAGTTGACCATCAGTTAGTGAAAGCCCATCTGAGCAGATGAAGGTCTTAATTACCTCATTATTACAGTCAAAAAACAGAACGAAAGACACATCTGCCTTCCCATCCATGGTCTTGTTCCAACCTTGAAGGTTGTCCTGATTTCTTGGAAACCCATCAATCAAGAATTTATTCTTCTGAGCATTGGCAGCCATTGTGTGATCCATTTCCTAAAAGAAAAGGAAGATTCAGGTTCAAGAGGACATCAACAAAATGTAATTTCTTTCTTTCTTTTTTTTTTTTCAGTGTTAACATGTTTAATAAAAGTATATACTAGGTACAAAAGTAGCCTAAGTGAAGGAGTGACTAGTTTTACGAGGTTTTTTGGGGTGAAGGTATAAGAAAAGGTTTGGGGGAGCCTGGGTGGCTCAGTCATTCGTTAAGTGTCTGCCTTCAGCTCAGGTCATGATCCTAGGGTCCTGGGATTGAGTCCCACATGGGGCTCTCTGCTCAGAGGGAAGCCTGCTTCTCCTCTTCCACTCCCCCTGCTTGTGTTTCCTCTCTGTCAAATAAATAAATAAAATCTTAAAAAAAAAAAGAAAAGAAAAGGTTTGACTCAGGAGTGGTGTCCATTTGAGGGGATATCTGAAACAATGAAGCATAAGCAGAAATGTAAAAAAAAAAAAAAAAAGCTCCTAAGGTAGATATTAATGACTACAAAATGTTGACAACACAGAAGAAATTAAAATATAAAGAGGTACAGAATTCTATTAATTTTAAATTGGCAGCCAAAAGATTAGTTGAAAAATGTGGTGAAAGGGTAGAGAAGTCCTTTTTTTTCAGATTTTGTTTTTTTACTTAAATTTCAATTAACTAACATACAGTGTATTATTAGTTTCAGAAGTAGAACTCAGTGATTCATCTGTATTATGTAACACCCAGGCTCATCATATCACAGGCCCGCCTTAATGTCTATCACCAAGTTACCCCACCCCCCACCCTTCTCCCCTCCAACAAAATGCAATTATTTAAGCAGGGTGGTGGAGATACAAGTGTTTCTTTTGTTATTATTATTCCTTAAATCATTAGTAAAGAGTGGAGGGTGCATAGGAAAAAAAAAAAAATGACTTAAAGGAAATGATCCAATGTAGTAACTTGGAGTTACAGGCAAGCAAGTATCCCTTCCCAATTTACACGCATACACACATACAATTTTTTCTCTGAAGTTTCTAAATTTTCTACAGTAAGCATTTATTACTTTCACATATACATTCACAAAGTTATGAATAGCAAAAAGAAAACAAAATGAGCAATAACCAATACCTTTGCTCCAGCCACTAGAGGCCCTATCTTGCCTTCCCCTTCCCACTCCCAAGTCATTTTGCTGTAGGAAGAAGTATGCTGCTTCTGCAGGCATTCAGATTCTCTGCAATAATTCAAATCCAACTGTACAAAGCTTTGGACAAATATAAAGAGACTGCTAGCAAAAAGTTAATACATTTTTGACTGAAGCAATTAAACTTTAAATGCCACTAGCTATCCCATAACACAGGTAGCAGAGTTAAGAATTCAGTCAAGGAAGACAGGAAGAACAGCACACTTCACCATCTTCCCCAAAGTTTGAGGCCAGAATGTTGAAATATGTGAACAGGAGATGCAGAAATGTAGTCTCCAAATCCTCACCACTGCCAGCCACCACGGGATAAGCACTGATGCACGACTCTGACCAGATCTGGAGAAGCCCCCATTCCAAAGCTAACCAACATCCAGTCCCCTCAGTGCTCAATCTCCTTGTTCTTCAAGAAGAACACGGGTTGTCTGGCCCTCTAATTCTTTCATCTGAGGGTTGGCTTTGTCCCAGCATTTGTTTCTCCAATGTTCTCCAATAACACAAAACTTTCATAGAATGTTTTTGGGCTCTGCTATAGCATTTCTACCTCAATTATGGTAGAGAAAGATTAAGGTGCATCAATATTCTACTCATGCAACATACAGTTAGTTACTCAAGGCCTATTACCAAGGAACTTGGATAGCCACATGGCTCTTGGGGGGCTCACGGTTCAGCAGGTAACAAATATGTGTAAAGAAATGTGCTAAGTTCTATGGGGACGTATGAAAAAACAAAGCACCAACTACCAGGAAAACAGCCTGAGAGAGAGCTTTATGAGAGGTGGCAGTGGAGATGAGTCCTAAATAATGAAGTGGCAAGCAGACAGGGATCAAGGTACTCCAGACTGAATATATAAAGGCTCAGAAATGAAAAAGCATAATAGCTTTGATAAATCTGAAGTAAGCTGAGGCAGTTGAATATTAGGACACGTGTACAGAGTGCTGGGAGATAGGACTAGAAAGTCAGTAGGGGCAAGATTAATGAAGAGCTTATTATGCCACACTAAGGAACTGGTTTTTATTTTTGAAGCAACAGAGGACCACTAAGGAATTTTAAGTAGAATATGCTTATGTCACCTTCTGGAAAAAAATCACCCTAACTGGGGTGCCTGGGTGGCTCAGTCTGTTGAGGGTTGACTCTTAACCCACTGAGCCACCCAGGCGCCCCTTTTTTTTTTTTTTTAAGATTTTTATTTATTTATTTGACAGACAGAGATCACAAGTAGATGGAGAGGCAGGCAGAGAGAGAGAGAGAGGGAAGCAGGCTCCCTGCTGAGCAGAGAGCCCGATGCGGGACTCGATCCCAGGACCCTGAGATCATGGAGGGTTGACTCTTGATTTCAGCTCGTCATGATCTCAGGTTTGTGAGATCAAGCCCCGTGATGGGCTCTGTGATTGGCTCCAGATGTCTCCACACTGGGTGTGGAGCCTGCTTGAGATTCTCTAACCCCTCTCCCCTTCTCAAAAAAAAAAAAAAAAAAAAAAAAAAAATCACCCTGACTGCACTGTGAAGGGTGGATTAGAAGGGAACAAGCATGGATTAAAGGCAAAAAGACTCATGAGGAGGCTCTAGTGATGGTCCAGGAAAGGAAAAAAGGATCTGAACTAAGGTGACAGTGGTAATAGAGAAAAAAGACTAAGTCAAAGACGGTTAAGAGGAAGATAACTAGAAGATCCACTCACTGAACTGATTTGGTAAAGTGACGAAAGAGGTGTAAAATACAGGATGGCCCCAGATCTCTGGCTTGGGCACAGATGGTAGAACCATTAACTAGAACAGGAGATAAAGGGCGATCCCATTTTAGAAGATACACTGATTCCCTGAGATACTTGTCAAATATTCAGATGGGTATCTAGTAATTAGAAGTGTAGGTCTGGAGTTCAGAAAAAAGGTGTGCGCTAGAGCTATAGATTTTAGCATTTGTTAGTATAATGAAAGCCTTGGGCATGGCTAAAAGCATCCAGCAGTAAATACATAAAAGGAGAGGAGAACCATGGATAAAACCCGGAGAACATCATCGTTTAGGAAACTTGCAAGGAGACGTAAAAAACAACAGCTGTTGAAGCAGGAAAGAATCAAGAAAAATGGTGTCCTAGAGAATAAAGAAGTTTCGAAAAGACAATGAATGGAGTTACATGCTATAAGAAAAATGACTAAAAATGTCCTCTAGATTTTATAAGGAAGATCACTGGTAACAACAGCAAGAACAGTTTCAGTGAAGATGGAAGTAGAACCTGATGACATAAGGTTGGAGAGTAGGAAGTGAAAAAGTGAAAAATGGAGACCACTCTTTCACAGCGTTTAGTGATAAAGTGGAGAAAGGGCATCAAATCTAGAGAGCAGGGAGAGAAGATATATTATGGAATAGAAGCAGGTTACTCCAATCTCTGAAACAAAAGGTAAGAAAGTGTGTAAATGAGCCACTCCTCCTCCTCCTCAAGTTTCTGTGGTTCCATCCAGGTGCTCATATATCTCTCTTCCACTGGGTTTCAACTATTTCTTGCTGTTCTCACTCTTGCATTTCTCTTTCACCGTTTCTTATATGTGAAAATACCCGTTAACGACTCGTCTTGGAAATCTATAGTGGAGAGATATCACATAAATGCAAGACACCTGTTTTTAAGATGGGACGTATTTTGATAGCTGTTAATCTCTGTATTTCATACTGAAGATGGTGATACATTCTCCACAAAAGGAAACATTAAAATGGAAGAAAACGGCAACAACGGGATGTCCAAGGGAAAAAGGAATAAAGGGAAGGAAGGACGGAAAGGAGGGAGGGAAGAAAGAAGGCTTACAAGAAAACAGAAAAGGCAGCGCCCCTGGGTGGCTCAATGGGCTAAGCCTCTGCCTTGGGCTCAGGTCATGATCTCAGGGTCCTGGAATCGAGCCCCACATCGGGCTCCCTGCTCAGCAGGGAGCCTGCTTCCTCCTCTCTCTCTCTGCCTGCCTCTCTGCCTACTTGTGATCTGTCTGCCAAATAAATAAATAAAATCTTTAAAAAAAAAAAAGAAAAGAAAACAGAAAAGGGCAAGGAGGGGGAAAGGAAGAAGAGGAGGGGAAGGAAAAAAGGAAGAGAAAATAGAAATGGAAGTGAGACACCGTCTGCGTGTTGGGGAAGGATCAAGGACACACATATGGATGTGAAGCTAAGCTAGCTGATCCTAGATCAAGGTAGAGAATGTTTGCTACTGTCCAATTTCTTTCCAGGGGACAGCAGAATATCCAATACTACCATTCTCAAACAGCATGACCACCTACCACAAGCAAGATACTTAGTACTCTCATTTTTTTTCATTACTCAAAGGAAAGGCAGATTTAGTTTCTTATTTCATTGCTGGTTTAAACAGGTTGGCATTCACACTCCTTACCCTCTTTAACAAACTGATGGTTATCTCAACTGGCACAATCTTTCCATCTTTAATGTACTTTTCAATGAGTTCACCATACTGTGAATCTGGGTTCTTCCTTTCATCACGAAGAAGTTCTCCTGCAGAAAGGTGTGTATAACCATATTTCTGAAAGAAACAACACACAGGAAAAAAAAAAATCAGAATACTTTCAACCCAGGGGCACCTGGATGGCTCAGTAGGTTGAGCATCCAACTCTTGATTTCAGCTCTGGTCATGATTTCGGATTGAGCCTCATGTCTGGCTCTGCTCTCAGTGTGGAGTCTGCTTGTCCCTCTCCCTCTGCTCCTCCCCTAGCTTGCATTCGTGCACAAGGGCTCAAGCTTGCACGCTCATTCTCTCTCTCTCTTTCTCAAAAATAAATAAATAAATAAATAAATAAATAAATAAATAAATAAATAAATAAATTCAACCCAGTGGTAGGACTACCAATTTTTTTCCTTCATGTTAATTTCTATAGTCTAACTTTTCCACAATAAGCTTTGATTGTATATTAAACAAATAATAAACAAATTTTAAGAGATTTCATACACTCAAGTTTGCTTTAAAAACATTCTTAACCTCGTAGGGCATGGTAGCTATAATGTTCACACACCAAGAAATCATCCTGAAATTTATGTAACTATTCAAGCCGTTAACATTTCACTGTAATCCTTCAGAAACACAATCAAAGTTTAAATGCCATTAATAATGCCCAAGAAATGCCTAGCAAAAACCAAATAATTCAAGGCAAAAAAAAAAAAAATTCACCACTGTTGGCTGTACCCCCCTTCTATAACTATAAAATGCTTCCCTTCCTTAAATTCAACACATCTAAACTGAACTCATCAGCATTTACACTACCACTGTTCTTCTGGTCTGTTCCCTTTCTTGGTAAATAGCACAAGTCCTACCTCCTCCACAAAATTAACTTTCCTGACCACTGTGGAGGGTGGTCACATAAGCAGTGACTTCAAATATCATTGTCTTTCTACCTAGACTAGTACATTCCTGACCATTCTTAAAAGTCCATCTCTTCCTTCTCTAGTTGCAACTAGAGGTCTCATCTGTGAAATGGGAATACAGATACCTATTTTATAAGTTAATGGTGATGACTAAATGAGATAACGTAAAGAGCCTGACGCATAGTATGAGATAAAAGTCAATTACCTCCTTGCCATTATGAAGATACTTATCTCAAATAATCTAGAAGCATTTTTATATTATATGTATTATATGCCATTTTAATTATATATATATATGTACACACACACACACACACACCCATATACATATATACACAGAGATCTGCATATGTACTCACTTTAATGGTTTTTATGGGAAGACCAATCAAGAGATGAAAGTGAAATAACAGATATGAATAGTCTATGAAAGGTCAGTAGAATAGTATTATTATGATTGTGATGATCATTATTATGTAGGGCTTATAAATGATGCATTAGGTCAGGGTATAGAGTAATAGTCGAGCTAAGTCATATAAGATGTTCAGTGCTGTTCTGCTACTTCCTCATGCCTGGAATGAAAAAACAACGCAGATCTAGGAAACAATTCTGAATAATGAAGAGCTTCTTCCACCACAAGAACATACACATTCCCTGTTTTAAATCAAAAGAACTATAAAATCTATTTTAAAAACATTTTGGGGGTGCCTGGGTGGCTCAGTCAGTTCAGTCGACAATTCTTGATTTCGGCTCTGGTTACGATCTCAGGGTCATGAGACTGAGCCCCAAACTGGGTTCCATGCCCAGCACAGAGTCTGCTTGTCCCTCTCCCTTCGTCCCTCCCCGCACTTGCTTGATCTTACTCTCTCTCTCAAATAAAATCTTTAAAAAAGTGTTTTTTAAATAAATAAGTAAATAAAAAGAACACTTAATGTTTTAGAAAAAAGTTTTTACTCTCAAATATCAGGGCACTCAGAACATATTCAATTTTCAGTTACTATAATCATCTTACCCCAAATTCTTAAGGCTCCCTAAATGGGCTTTTATCTCATCCATAGTTAAGTGTACAATAAAAATTTAATATCTTAAATTTATCTTTAATTTCAAAATTAAGATCTGAGGAAGCCCACATTCCCACCCCTCTTTTAAAGAAGAAAAGTTTCAATTGCACAGTTCATAAAAACTCCAATTACCCAGATTATGGTGAGTCTTCTTTTTTTGGACTGCAGAAGCCATACCTTCTTCACCCCTTTTTCTATTTCTAAACATTGTTGGCAAACTTGTTCTCACTGACTTAAGTAAGCTAGGTAAGGTAGTCAGCAAAGGAAAACAAACTCTAAACAGTTTATTTGCTGACTAAAATTGGGCATAAAGTTGGATGAGAATAAACAAAACCGCAGTGTCACTCATGTCTCTTAGTTATACACCCCCTTCCATTAAAATAACCAAAAGTGTATTTAGTTTTTTAATAGGCTTTAAAAAAAACCCTCCCATCGTTTGCAGAAAATGAAAATACAAAATGCTTAATTATTTAAACTGTTATTCTTAAATTATTTCCACACGACACCATTTTAAAATGCTACTTTGATCACCAAGCATAAGGAAACTTCTGAAAGATGGGTGTAGAAAAGACTATAAAAAATGAGGCATGACCCACTTTCCCACTATTAAAATTTTCAAAAAGCATTTTGCAACTAGTGTCCATAAAATTTTATAGCAGCTCCATTTCCTACAGCTTACTTTGTTTCCTGCTTGGAAGTCTATGCTTGCTGGATGTTCTCATCTGTCTGGAGATTATAGCATATGGTAATATTGAATAAATGCAGAGACAAACAGTACTAAACAATGACAAATGCTTAGCGAAACACCAACCACACAGACTGCTCTGTACAGACTGCCTCTGCTGCATGAACAACATACATTTAGAAGCCCAGATAGTAATTTGGAAATTAGTACATACATGTTGATTTCCTGACACTCGAGTGCTCAAATTTGCAAGCTTTATGTTGCATTAAAGTGGGTTTTGGCCTATCACTTTTTTAAAAGAGAAACTAGTTGTAAACTGTAGAGGTATACAAATGGTGTTTTTAAAAATAATTACACACAGTTTGTCAAAGAGAGAGAAAACAACCTTATATGCAGTGTCTAAGGAAACAAGGAATTTAAGTAAATATAACAGAAATCCATACATGTGTCTTCCTATTTCTCATCCACATTCCATTTTTTAAAATCCTCTATTTACTGCTTTTTTATACTACATTTTTCTCAAGGATTTTGCTGAAGCTTTCCTCTTACCATAGAGTTTCTATAACAAAAAAGCAACTATCACTTACACACTAGCTATTATGGTATTTTAGTAACAGCTAGACTTCAAGGAGCACGTTTTTAAAGCATTCTGTTGTCATTAAGTAGTTACTGATGCCAATTTTGAGGAAAGCAAAAATGGTTATTTCCCTGGCTTAACTGAAACTTTTTCACATTCTCTGAAATTTCCTAGCAATTAAAATCTAGTGGGTCACTAACTACAATCTTAAGAACATCATTCAAAACCACAGTAGGTTATAAACACTATAAACTAGAATAAATACAATTACAAGCTACTATTCAACTAAAAATAGTTTTCTAGTGACAAATGTATAAACTCAATTCATTTAGAGTAACGGTCTAAGCTTTTTACTTTCATTTTCTCCTTTAAGAAATTGAAAAAACAACTCAATAAATTCTTATAAACCACATACTAAGATTTGGAGGGAGAAAAAAAAAGCACCATGTTCTCAATAAGGACAGAATGGCACTTTATTTTCTTAGGTGAATGTTGAAATTTTACAGTATCAAATCTTTAATCATCTTGATGGACTTCTTTCACCTCTTAGCAATCATCTTTCCTTCTTTCTTAATTTAGGGAACGTGGTTCTATGTGGGCAAAAACAATAAAAACAATAAAAAACAAAACCACAACAATAAAAAAGAGCTCAAGGTATAACTGATGTGGGGTGCCTGGGTTGGCTTAGTCGATTAAGCATCTGCCTTCAGTTGAAGTCATGATCACAGGGCTCTGGGATAGAGCCCCACAGGGGGCTTGCTTTTTCCCTCTAGCTCTGCCTCCCCCACCTCTCACCCCTCTCCTACTCATGGTCTCTCTCTCTCAAATAAATAAATAAATTCTTAAAAAAAAAAAAAGATAAAAATGATGCATAAATGGCAAGTCCTTGGAGGCAAGAAGAGATCCAGATGCCAGACCCCTCCTCCAGTTGGTGTGGCAATTAGAAAGCACCATGGGATTGCTTCCGAGCCTCATAAGAAAGGGCATATAGCAGATATACTAGACATAAATATATTTTTAATACAACTATGCACGTTAAAATTATTGGGTGTCCTTTAAATAGTGGACACATCTATGAAGCATTTAAGACTAAGTTTATTTTGCATTCCCTAGAAGATTAGTGAACCTTAAAATCTAAGTTTTGGTTATGTACTATCAAAAATGTACTTTCAGCAGAACACCCAGAAATGCTGCAAGGACTATCCAGAGCCATCCAGACTCAACAGTCTGCTGCTTGTTGCAAACAACAGCTATAGAGCCTACAGCCTCCCAGTAACATTTTATGTAAGCCTTTCATTCATTTCAAAGGTATTTTCAATAGAACTTTTTCCAGTTACTCTAAATGAGATGTCTGATAAGGACATTCCAAGAACAGAATCTGCCAGTCTTGGGGAACTTACATTACTTTGAATATAGAAACCAACACAGTGCCAAGATGCTTACAACTGGTCATTCGTTTAAAGTTCCTTCTGGTTTCACCCACAGAGGGTTTGAAAAAGGGTCTTTCCTATAATCACCATTAAAGAAAGGTTAGCATTAAAAGGGGATAAAAAAAAAAAAGTCTATCCAGTGCGAGAAAAGCTGAGCGTAATAGCTGAATTAAGTTGCTAGCAGATTTTCAATCTCATTTTTAGCGTACCCTCACTGTATTTCCAAATGTATGCATTGCATTTCACATGCCTATTTAATTGCAAATCTACATATTAACTATAAACTATGGGAAGTTATAAACTGAGCTAAATCTTTTCTCAAGCAAAAAGCCGTGGCAGACAGATTTTAAATTAACATGAAGCATACTTCTTTTTCTAATTAAAGAGTGATATTTTAAAAGCTTATATTCTGAA